AAAATCTTAAAAAAAATAAATAATTAAATAAAAATTTAAAAAGTCACGGAATGCTTTCACTAGTGCACCGTAGTGACACCTAATTCACCTAAATATCGAAGAACAAAGTTCTAAGAAGATTAAAACAGTCAAATGGAAACCTTACAATAAGCCTAAGAAGTTAAGAAGTTGAATTAAAATTACTTTTCGGGGCAACCCTGTTGGGACCCCTCTCACTCTTGAGAGCTTTTTTGTATCTTCACTTAATAAACTTCTTTTGCTTCGCTCACACACACACACAAATTACTTTTCATTCCTTGAGGATTCCCCAGTTGAACATTTTAGATCTCCAACAAAGAATCCCCATGTATAATAATACTAAACATTATAAAATGCTTGGCATGTGCTAAATTTCATCCTTACGAGAGCAGTTATGAGAAGTATTAGTATTATTTCCATTGTTATTTATTACAAATGAAGCAACTGAGGTCCACTGAAGTTAAGAAACTTCTTCAGAGTCACAGCTGGGCAAAGAGTAAGCCAATGGAATCTAGATACTCTAACATAGCCCTACTCACATGCAGGTAACAGCCGATGCCTAAATGTAATATGCCATTTTCTTTCATTTTTAAAATATAATATGGATTGTATGTAATGGTTAAAATGAACTATTTAGATCTGGGAAACTTAAAAAAACCTTTCAAAGGAAGGATCTAGGCTTTCAAGTTCACTTAACCCAAAGCAAAAGGTTCAATATTCTACAGAGTCTGCATAGGATAAAAATCTCTGTGCCAGTGCTGAAAAGGCTTTAACGTGGGGTTCATTTAGCAAAAGAACTTACATCCCAGTTAAATGTATTTCCTGAGGTCCTTTAGAATCCAAATGACCTGTAATCAGATATGAAGAGTTATTCTTATTCATGCATCCTGTCTTTCCTTCTGGTTTTCTTCATTTCTTAATTTCAAAAGCTGATGTTTTGAACACAAAGGCTCTTGATAGGTACTAAGTTTATGGTACGAGGTACAAGTTCATGAAAACTTAAGAATTTACAAAGAAAAAATGCTGGGAAACAGTGCCCTAGCCTAAACAGCAGAGATTTTTTTTCATGAGTAGAAAATAATGTTTATCATTCAGGAAATCCGAAAGTAGAACAAATACTAAAATGGTTGACTAGTTACTCCTTTTGGACTCAGACCCTACAAAAACACAAGAATTAGTTAGCAAATATTTATGTTTGTTTCTTTGCCTTTATTGAGATTAGAGTAAGGCATAAAACGTCTCATTTTAACTATGGCTTTCATTCCTACCATCAGTTAGTCAACAAAATATTCCTTCCTGTCTAAACTTTTCAAATGCAAAGTGACCCCTATTAATGATATTACATTTCTCTTCTTGGCTTATCATTCTCAAAAATCCACTAGGTACTCACAGAATTCCAACTTCAAGGATCTCTACCTACTTTTACCACCTTCCATATCTATCCAACTACCCTGTCTTCTCCCTTGAAAGCTGTTCTTTCCTCTGAGGTCTTTACCTCCCTTCTCCTTACCAATTTCATCAATGTCTGCAGAAGTGCTAAGTTGATTGGCAGACATCTCTCCACCACCGCTAAGATTCGAAAGATCAAGGCAACATTTTGGGGTTCCTCTATTGAGACATAATAGTACATCAAGATTCCTATTAGGTTGTAATATCCTTAAAAGGCAAAGATCACATTATCCTCTTCATCTGAAACACCCCTCAACAGTCATTCACACAATCTAAACAGTGTCCAAATAAATCTAGTTGCTTTTTGGCAATATTTCAGAGTAGGCTGAGAAAAATCTCCCACTTTTCTCTACTCCAATAATTTGCATGTCATTTCCTCCTCACCAACATAGTAAGACAAGTAATTTTTTTTAAATTGAGGACCAAAGATTATTGGCTGAAATCAGTCTTGACCCCACATCTTCTCCCCTGCACTGTGAGCACACAGATTTGATTTCTCCTTGGAGTCTCTAGTACTTCTGAGGTCTATAACTCTCCAACTTTGTTTGCTAGCTGAGGCATCAGAGCATGGCATGACCAGAATTTAAAGAATAACAGTAACACTAATATTAATACTAATAAAACAACCAACTCATATAACCCAATAGAGTTTTCGAAGACTTCTCCCAGACATCACATCATTTGATTCCCACAAGATCGTAGTAAGATAGGAAGAGATTATTATTTCTTTGTCACAAAAAAGAAACCTGAGACTCAAGGGTCATATGGTTAATGAAGGGCAGAGTTTAAAATTTCACCCCTGATCTTTGAGTCAGGATAATTTTCAAAAAAAACCAAAGACTTAAAAAAAAAAAAAAAAAAAAAGACTGGGGCGCCTGTGTGGTTCAGTTGGTTAAGCGTCTGCCTTCGGCTCAGGTCATGATCCAAGGGTCCTGGGACGAGCCCCGCATTGGGCTCCTTGCTCAGCAGGGAGCTTGCTTCTCC